ACCAACAGAACTTGCTGCAGGTCCCAAGCTCTGACACCATTAATGTGGTGAGTATTTGTAGCAGGACTGAATAGCTTTTTTTTTCTGTCTTTTTTGACAGGGTCTCCCTATAGCCCCAGCTGACTTGGAACTCACTATGTAGACCAGGCTGGCCTTGAACTCACAGAGATCCACCTGCCTCTGCCTTCCGAGTGCTGGGACTAAAGGCATGCACCACCACGCCTGGCAACTGAATAGCTTCTTATCCAGCAGGTCCCTCTGTCCTCAGTTGTAACTATTCAGAATTCACTCCATATGATAGCCTGTCTACTTCTGATACACACAGATCAGTGTATGTGAAGCCTCGTGTACATCATGCAGGCCTTCTTTGTCTTTAAAGCATCTTAACCTTACTCCATAAGTGTAACATCACAGGCAAAGAAATTCGCTGTCATCCACTGCCCTGGAGCTTTGTGTTTTTTGCTAAAAGCCTGGAAGTAACACTAGTATATTGTGCAAGAAAACTGAAGGATTTTTTTTTTAGGCACAAGACATATTTTTGTTTGTGGACTCTTAAAGGAAGTATTTTAGAAGGAAAGTAAAATTAATGTTGATATAGTAAAAACAAATATTACACAAAACAGCCTTTATTTTTTCTTCATCAGTGTACAAAGTAATGTTCCCTTGTGACATTTTCATATATACTTAGAAATTTTCTGTCTCTTACACAAGGTAGAGATATTTAAGTATTTGATTTTTTTTTTTCTTTTTTGCATGTCTTTAGTGATGAAAATGGCAGCAAATCAATAGTTATCTCTTTCAAATCTATGGGTATCAGTAGCTTTGCCTAGTAAAAGACCCGAAAATGTCAGAGCACTTGCTTGGAGGTAGAAACCACATAGTTTTCAGCAGGTGACAAATCTGGTGCAGAGAACACATATTCACATAGTCACTGTTACTGCCCATCCCTGAGTAGAACTTTGAGAATGCACTGCAGGTGATGTTCCAAGATGGGATTTGTTTTATTTGGTCATGGAAGTCAAGTGAACAAACAGGAATAAGACCTCGCTCCCAGCACCATGCAAGCGAGGTCTCCACTGTTTACAGCCTGATCCTTGGCTATCCAGGCATTCTGCAGCTTCGCTTTATCCTTTGCCTAGTATGCATAGGATGCATTTTAGAGGTCCAGGAAGCATTGCCTAGTGCTGGGTTTAGTGCTGCTATGGCAGCGTGGGCTTTGAGACTCATGTCAGAGGAGGGGTTAGAGTGACTGCTTTTGGGTACTGTCCCTGAGATTGGTGGGTAGGTTCTTTCTCCTTGGGGCTCTTGTGACAAGAGAGGAGCCTTAAACTTTTTGGAAAGTAGGATTTTTATTTACTGTGAGTGTGTTAGCTTTCCACTGCTGTGAAAATATACCCAAGGTAACCAACTTAAAAGCAGGAAAGATTTATTTGGATTCACTCTTTGAGAGATTTCAGTCCATGTGTTGTTGGCTCTGTTACTTTGGAGCCTGTGGCGTGGCAGAACATTGTACTAGGGCACTTGGGAAACAAAGCTGCTTACCTTGTGTCCAGAAGCAGAGAGAAGAAAGTTAGGGGTTCCTGTTTTCCCTGCAAGGGCATGCCCTCAATAACCTAACATCCTCCAGGTAGATCTCTCCCAAAGGTTCTACCACTTTCTAGTAGTGTCATAGAATGGCAACTAATCTCTTGACATATGGGAAATTTAATATCCAGTCTTTCACAGCTAAGAAGAGTCAAGCTGATGAAAGAGTAATGTCTTAAGTTTGATGTTTGTTTAGACTTTGTATTAAAGTGGGTTAGTTGTCAGGGACAGTGGTGCACATCTATAATCTAACACTTGAGAGACTGAGGCAGGTAGATCATGAGTTTGAGACCAGCCTGGGCTACATAGTAAGTCTCTGTCTCAAACAACCTATGAACAAATAAATAGTATCATAGAAAATGAATATTTAATCATGTCCGGTCAGTGATTTTTATTATTTCTCTGTCCATGATTGCAATGGACTGTTTGTTGTTTGTCCTTTAAATCTGCATATATAAGCATTTGTACTTTTGTTCTTAGCCATTGAGTCATTTTTATGCTCATCCATAGATATTCATGTACTCTTGCCTTGTATTTCTATTCATTTTAGACAACTCGTTTGCTTCCGGAGTCATCTCATGAGGAGCTGGACCTCCAAACAGAGCGTCCCCAGTTCCTAGAGGACAGCGAAGACCAGAGCAGGCGCTCTTACAGGTATCCACTGCACAGACCCAGCTCCTGAAGCCAAATGCTGACCATACACCTGCATTGCCCAAGTGTTCTCAGTTCTCTCTCTCAAACTTGAAGTAGGGTTCATTATCATCCCTAGTTTATAAAAGATCTAGAAGGTTGTTCAGAATGAAATACACTGAAGATTCGCATATGCTGAGGAGAGAACTTGTTCTGTCAGTTAATCCTCCTTGCCCCTGTTTTGATTTTCTATTCTGTTCTGAGTATGGGACACTGGGTGTTTGGTGAGTGTCACTGAAGCTGTTTTGTTCTCCTCCAGTCCCAGGTATTGGGCTGCTTGGTAGTTGTGGTCTGAGAGAGCAGGGCCTGAGCTCTGTGTGTTTGGTTTCTAGGTGTGACTATTGCAACAAAGGCTTCAAGAAGTCCAGCCACTTGAAGCAGCATGTGAGATCACACACGGGGGAGAAGCCTTACAAGTGCAAGCTCTGTGGGCGTGGTTTCGTTTCCTCTGGTGTCCTCAAGTCCCATGAGAAGACACACACAGGTTACAGTATGTTTTTATCACATCCAAAATAAATCAGTTGCTCCTGTATCCTCTTCATGCCTGTGGCCCTAAAGAGCCTTTGATCTACCTCTCTCTTTGTAGACTGGCTTGTTGTAGACTTTGCCCATGAGTGGGCTCATGTAGTATGTCATGGTCTTTGCTGGTCAACTTCTTTGCTTAGTACAGTGCTTTGTTCAAGGTTTATCTGTATTGTGGCATGTGTCAGTATCCTTTTTATGGCTCATGATATATGAATATATCATGTTTTATTTACTCATCCATCAATTGGACATTTAGGTCATTTCTATTATTTGACTTTTATGAATAATTCTGAATAGACATGTCTCTATTTTTCCACCAAGGAACACAATTGCTGCGTCATAAGATTAACATTTTTTTTTGTCTTTTTGAGACAGGGTCTCCTTGTAGTCCCAGCTGTCCTGGAGCTCACTGTGTAGACCAGGCTGGGCTCAAACTCACAAAGATCCACCTGCCTCTGCCTCCCAAGTGCTGGGATTAAAGGTGTGCGCCACCATGCCCGGCAAGATTAACACTTTTTAAGGTTGGAGTTGATGCTTATTGGGAACACACTTACCCAGTATGTGTAAAGCCCTTGTTTCAGTCACTAACACTGCAAAAAGAAAAACAAAAACACTTTTTTTTTTTGAGGCAGGGTCTCCCTGTATCCCCAGCTGTCCTGGAACTTACTATGTAGACCAGGCTGGCCTTGAGCTCACAGAGATCCGCCTGCCCCTGCCTCCCAAGTGCTGGGATTAAAGGCATGCGCCACCACACCTGGCTGGTAAAGGTTTTTTAAAAAACACAGCTTGGCCATTGGATCTTTATCAGATATATGGTTTACCATTAAATTACAATTATCTGTTTAATACATTCTCTTGATCATATAATATACGCATTTATATATTTGTCTTATCAACTTGTTAAAGCTTTTGAAAACTATATCTTTGTTACTGGGTCTTTACCAGATAAATGGTTTGTGATTAAATTACAGTTCTGTTTAACACATTCTGTTTAACATATAATATACTCATTTAATACCAGTATATATTTGAAAGTCATGATGCATTACTTAGGAGTACACAGAGGAGGAAAAGCCTTACAGATGCATCTGTGAGCTAGCGGCTAAGGAGTGGTTTTAAGGGCTGGAAAGATGGTTGTGAGATTAGTGGTACATGGAAAAACTGTTCAGGAAGTAGAGAAAAGCCGTTCTGACTGCTAAGGAGCCATGGAGGGAAGGCAGTTGTAGAATAAGTATTTTTCCTAGCTATGGGTTTCTTAGGCACTGTTCTATCAGAGAAAGGCATTAGTATTGAGCACTGCCAGAAATGAGACTGGAAAGGCTTCACAGACTCCTCCTGGGTCTGACCCAGTAAACCATTTGCTGTGGCAGTGACTCAAAGATGGATCTGGAGAAACATTTTGGGGGGCAAATCTACAAACATGCTGCTGTTGAGATATGAAAGATAAGGACAGAGCAGACTTGTGAGCAGCCTCTTGTCGGCGCTGTTCATTTTAGCAGAGAATGTTCAAATGTGCTCTGCCAGTGTCCATGTTCCTAATGCAATCTGGTTCCTAAAAACTGTAAGCCATAACAAATAAACTCTGTTCTTGAGGAATATGCAATGCATGTGTGTTTGACCTTAAGGGCCTATTATTTTAAGAAAATGAAATAAGGCTTTCCCTGACTCACTCTTGTCTATTGACACAGGAGTCAAGGCATTCAGTTGTAGCATCTGCAATGCTTCCTTCACCACTAATGGCAGCCTCACACGGCACATGGCCACACACATGAGCATGAAGCCTTACAAGTGTCCATTCTGTGAAGAGGGCTTCCGCACTGCAGTTCACTGTAAAAAGCACATGAAGAGACACCAGACAGTCCCCTCTGCTACCTCAGCAACTACAGAGACAGAGGGAGGAGGTATTTTCCAGTTTGGATTTACTAGCCAAATACAGATTTAGTTATAAATTAATGTATAAATCGCTTTGAATATTGTAATCTAATTGTGTACAATTTAAGCTTAATTGTGTAAAAAATGTATTACCATATGTGTATGAGTGCATGATGTATATATTGCCATGGCATGTTTGTGGAGGTTAGAGAACAACTTTGTAGAGTTACTTCTCTCCTTCTACCTTACATGGGTTCTAGGGATTGAACTCAGCTTGTTAGGCATGCTCAACAAGTACTTTTACCTGCTGAACCATCTCACCAGCCCCTGCATTTAAAAAGTACTTAATTTTATTTTCTGAACATGAAATGCCCTTTGAGAAAAAGTTCAGAGCCCCAGAGACGGTTTGCAGCTTCCCCTGTGGCCAGGCACTGCCCATTTACTCTTGAATGTGTGTTCTTGCAGCTATGCTCAGTGTGCATACAGCCAGAGTCACTTTGCTGACATGTGGTGTCCTGCTGTATTTTGCAGTGCACTTGAATTTTCTTCTGTGAAAGTTTTTTCAATGTGTAATTTCTAATTGAGTTAATTCTACCCACTTCTCTGTTTCCCCTTCTGTTGGGTGTTTAGTCCTCCCTGCGGTCATGCTGCCTTGCTCCAGCCTCGCACTGTCCATTCTTACATTGTCCTAGCAGCTTGTTCTTGTTCAGTCAATTGGAACATACCCTTGTGAGAGAATACATACGTGTTTGTCTGTGTGTGTGTGTGTGTGTGTGTGTGTGTGTGTGTGTGTGTGTATCTTAAGTGTCTTCTCTGTGATCACTCTCTTTAATTTGGGGTTCTTTGCTAGTTTGACAATTTGGTCTCTGGTTTTTGAGCATCTGTTTTTATTTACCCAGTAACAATTCAGTTTGGGCCCAAAATTGTATGTGGACATCTCTTTGTGAATCCTGATGGCTTCATGGGCTCTGACAGTTTCTGAACTCCTGCTGACTGTACAGCAGGCAGAAGCAGACTTTTAACCATAGCACACCCCCTCTGGTCACCCTCAGCTTCTGCCTTGTCCCTAGTCAGCCTAGTTCTTATTAGAATCCTAATTGGAAAGGCAGCTGTTTGCCATCAGAATGTGACTTAATTGTGTTATTAACTCTAACCTTACATGCTTTTATTTTCCTGTTGGGTTAAAAGTCAATTTTTTATGGTGGTTTTGACCCCTCTCCCTATGCTTTCAGTAGACACGTGTGTGGAGGAAGAGGACGAAAACTCTGACAGAAGTGCATCAAGAAAGCCTCGTCCTGAGGTCATTACTTTCACAGAGGAGGAGACAGCCCAGCTAGCCAAAATTCAGCCCCAGGAGAGTGCTACAGTGTCTGAGAAGGTGTTGGTGCAGTCAGCTGCAGAAAAGGACCGCATCAGTGAGATGAAGGATAAGCAGGCAGAGCTTGAGGCTGAGCCCAAGCATGCCAACTGCTGCACATACTGCCCCAAGAGCTTTAAGAAGCCCAGTGACCTGGTGAGGTGAGGACACCTTTACTCTTGTCACAAGCTCCTGGAGACTTGAAAGTGTATATTATGTGTTCCTTTGATGCTTTTTATCCCAATTTATGTATGGAGTATGTGGTTCTAAGCCTGTGTCACTTGGTTGTGAGCACATTCAGAATAGTGATGAGGAAGTCTATTTTCTCTGAAAGTTACTTGTACATTTTTTGTATGATTGTGGTAGCAATAGAAAATGAACACTAACTTACTCATTTAGCAAGACAGAGTGCTGGGTTGTGTGGAGGTGCAGTAGACTGACAGACAACCTCTTTCCCAGAGGGCTGCTAGTTGGTATGAGAATACAGAATAAGCTAGAGACTTAACGTGTTACAGATTGAGCGGCTATCTGAAGATTCATATGCAGGATGGAGTGTAGCAAAGTGGTGAAGAGCCTGGGACCCTAGACTCATGGGGGAGGGTGGAGGAGCTCTAGTGCTGTGCAAGGCTAAGAAGAAACAGGCCATGTGCAGACACCGTCCTTAATTTGCATCCAGGGTGCTTAGCCTAGCTCTAAGATACAGAGCCAACAGATGGGACTTGTAGAACAGCTTCATGCATGGCAGAACTATGAGGACCTCAGATGGGAGCTTTCCTCAGGCTCTATATTTCACAGTTGCAGAACATGGAGGCAGGCAGCAGTGCCAGGAAGGGTGGACAGGAATGGAGCAGCTCCCTAGTGACAAGTGTATAGCCAGTGAGTGTACAAGGTGACTGCTGGTAGGGGATGTGCACTCAGCTAGAGTGACAAGGCAGGTGGAGAAAGCCCAGATAGCCGATGAAAGGGGGAGTCTTCCAAGTCATATACTGGAGTTGAGTCCAGAAACCTGAGAGATCTGAAGTTAGTGACAGAACAATAGAAAGTCAAACTATGGAGAGGATCAGGGAGTTATTATGAAAGAGCTGGGAAGCTGTTAGGAGTGGAGTCTACTTGCCAACAGATGCTTGTGGCCAGCTAGAGCTAATGACCTGGCTGACAGGGATGGCTCTGTGAAATGAAAGCTCCAGTTACATACCAACCAGGCTATGTACCAGTCTTGAGGGCTTGTGGGCCTGTGGTAATGCTAATCAGTAGCCAGTAGGGATAGCAAATAGACTGTGATAATATCCCCACCAGTCATCACTGAGTACTGAGAACATATCACAAAGGTAGACAGACAGGAGCCATGTATTGTGGAACAGGAAACATGGCACAGCAGACATCTGAGTGACTAGTTTTGTTGCCTTGTTTTCATGTAAAAAGCACTCTAGGCACAACTTCTCCTATTATGTACTGCGTAAAAGTCACAGTGAAACAAAACTGTGGGTAGGTTCTGAGGTGTGCTTGAGAAATGTCAGTGTTAAGTTCTGTAATTATGTTTCATTTAATCTTTGTTATTGAAGAGTCTTGGTACCTTTCCTCGTCAGTACCCGTAAAGCCTGTTGCATTTTTTATAAATGGTGGCATGCTACCAGGCTTGTGGTGATACTATACAGGCTGCACCCTTGGAGCATCTATGTGAGGTTCATGCTTACTGTTGACACATTCCCTGCAGGGCCTCAGGTCATACACTTAGGTCCCTGAGAGACTTGAGTACCTATTTCAGACCAGCTCACAGGAGGACTGACCTTGTGCCATTGCAGTGCTGTGTTCTCTGACCCTGAGGGCTGCCTCTTTCTGCACATGTTTCTTGGTTACTTGTAGTCTTTCCTCTACAAACTCTGAGTTGTTCATTCATCTATTCTGTCGTTAGTGGTCTTCGTACTGATTTCTAAGAGCTCTTTGTTTTTAAGGAAATTAGTTCTGCTTTTTTAATTTTGAGAAAATATTTTGTTGTTTAGATTTTTTATGGTATGTTTTGTACAGAGTGAAACTTAAAATTTTTATTTGGTCAAATTCAATCAGAAATAGCAGCATGTGATTTTTATTTTTGTGATTGTAAATTTATGAGCTTGTTTGTGTGTATGTAATTAAAAAGAAACTCACTGAATTACAAATGCTTTTTGGTAGGCATGTTAGAATCCATACTGGAGAAAAGCCATACAAGTGTGATGAATGTGGAAAGAGCTTTACCGTGAAGTCCACTCTCGATTGCCATGTGAAGACCCACACAGGTAAGGAATGATCCCTGAGCACTGAAGATGCCTTAGGTGTGGCAGATGCACAAAGTTCTACTTAGGTAAGAGCAGTCTCTGAGTTCTGCAGACGCTTTAGGGTGGGTCTAAATGCTTTGTGCACAAACACTTTGAAAATTACAGAGAACTCAAAAATCAGTCACCTTGGGCTGGAAAGATGGCTCAGAAGTTAAGAGCACTGGCTCCTCTTCCAGAGGACCCAGGTTTGGTCCCCAGCACCCACATGGCAGCTCACAACCATCTGTAATTCCAGTTCAAGGGGCTCCAACACCCTCTTCTGTCCTCCATGGGTATTATATGCATGGTCGCATGCACACACATATGTATGTGTATATATACACATGCATATATATACATACACACACATATATGTACATACATATACACACACACAGGCAAAATACTCATATACATAAAAATAAATTAATTAATTAAAAAAATCAGGGACCATGAAAAATGGATATAAAAGGTTTTTGTTTTTTTTAAATTATTATTCCTGATATCAGGGGAAATGGTTTAATTCCTAAGAAAGAGGGGTTAAGGTCTCAAAAATCAAATTGTAAATTGTCTATGTTCCTGCTCAGGCTTATACACCTTCTTTGACAAGGCTACCTATTAGCCTCATTCAGACTAGAGAGGCTTCGTTTACTGTGCCCTATAAAAATCTGGGAACTTGGCAAGTCTGTTGTTAGTTACCACATTATAATATATTTCCTACCAAGGAGAAAACGATGCCTGGTTTTCTTCATCTCATTTGAGAACCTGATAATCAGTTGTATCCAAAAAGTGAAAAACTTTGCTTCTTGAATTCCTCAGTTAGGAGGGCACCTTCTCTGAGCCATAGGCTTCTTGAGTGTTACATGAGGCTAAGTAAGGGTATAAGTCCCTCCTCCCCATTGACAGTTTAGATGTATTAAGACTTATACATAGGTAGAAATGTGTTTGGTATGTAGTAAATGTTCAGTGAATGTTATCATTAGTGTGATCCACAGGGTATGATCATCAAACTAACCCTTATTCTAATTTTTGGTTATGAAAATTGAACAAATGAATAAAAGTGGAGTTTCATAAATTTGTGTGAAGTTCTATGATTCTTTTCTGATGGAATATTATGGGAATTAAACTGAGGTAAATTCACTTATTAAGACCTTTCTATATGTCATTTTCCTGCTGTCTCATGAGGTTCCCTGTGTTTGTCTCTTGCGTTATGCTATGAACTTACTGAGGGTGGATGGGTTAGCTGTCAGCTTGGAAGGCCCAGGTCCAGTACACAGTGTTTAATACTAGAGGCTCAGTGGTGCTCTTTTGAGATCTGCTCTTTCACCTCTCCTGGTGTGCAAGTTCAGCATAGGCTGCTTGGGGAAGAGAAGAAGTGCTTCTGCTTCTTTGTCCCTTTGGAATGGCAGGGTGACATCTGAGAACTTCCTCACCAGTGTGGGACCACAGGTTCACTAGTGCCTCTGTGAATTCTTGCCTGAACATTCCTGACAAAAAGTGGCACTTATTTCCTGGGCAGAAGAGGGAAAAAGAAAGCCAGGAGGGCGTCTGCCCCTGAGCTCTCCCAAGGCAATTGATGCCAGTGGCATTTGTGTGTTGGTGGTTTTTACTCTGCAGGTGATCATGAGAAGAACCAGGAGGAAGGGAATCCATACATAATACTGGACGTAGCCAATATGTGGCTAGGATGGAGTTACCTTTGTACATTTTCTAAGCATGGTGCTATCTGTGCTGACATTCTTACTGGCCCTGTTTGACAGAAGAGAAACTAAAGGGATGCTGAGATGTTGAAGTATCCTCAGTACAAAAAGAAAAATGGCAGGAGTGTGGGCCAGGGTTGAGTCACATTACCTATCGGCTTCTGATGAATATAAATCAAATACCCCAGTCAAAATTCCGTGTGATGTAGTAATTTCAGGACACTAAGCCTCAGAGGGTTGTGGGAACATTAAGTTCAAATTATAGACACTGGTTGTCTATATTCTGCAGTTATCTGTAATGTCATGCCATCCTGTGATTGAACAATTAAAGTACTTTGGTTCATAAAGCCAGTGCACTATATCCACCCTGCCTGCTGGAGGGTTTGTGTAGGTGCAGGTTGTCAGTGACTCCTGCTGATTCTTGCTGGTCTTCCTACAGGCCAGAAACTGTTCAGCTGCCATGTCTGCAGCAATGCCTTCTCCACAAAGGGAAGTCTGAAGGTCCACATGCGCCTGCACACAGGAGCAAAGCCTTTCAAGTGCCCTCATTGTGAGCTGCGCTTCCGGACGTCTGGACGAAGGAAGACTCATATGCAGTTTCATTATAAACCAGACCCAAAGAAAGCCAGGAAGCCTGTGACACGAAGCTCGTCAGAAGGCCTTCAGCCCGTGAACCTCCTGAACAACTCCACTGACCCCAATGTGTTCATCATGAACAACTCTGTTCTAACCGGGCAGTTTGATCAAAATTTGCTTCAGCAAGGGCTGGTGGGTCAAGCTATCCTTCCCGCCTCTGTGTCAGGTAAGTAACCGATACGTACCTCTCTCACCTGTTCCTGAAGCAATATACTCCTCCTCTTTCCCTTAAAGGCAGTAGGGAGAAATTGAGTGCCCATCTGCTTTCCATTTCTTCTCTTACCGCATCTGCTTTTAACACCTTGGCACTTTGAGTAGCTTTTGTTCAGTGAGTAGAAACATGTTACCCTCACCGTTGGCTTTCTCATAAATTCAGAACTGAGCCATGCCATTTTCAGATGCTCATGGTTTTTAATCTAGTGGAGGTGTCCTTTTGTCGTTGGACACCCAATGCTTAAAAAGTACTAAGTTTACACCAATTGGGGTTGTGTACTTACAACTAAGTGTTGAAAATTTTGCAGTAAATGACATCCCTTGGGTCTTTAGTAAATTTGTGTTCTAAAATCCTATATAAAAGTGACGTTTTATAGATTTAAAACGTTTATAGTTTTCTGCCTTTCTCTTTCTCTGACCAGCTGGTGGGGACTTGACAGTGTCTTTGACTGATGGGAGTTTGGCCACCCTAGAAGGCATCCAGTTACAGCTGGCTGCTAACTTGGTTGGACCAAATGTTCAGATTTCTGGAATTGACGCCTCCAGCATCAACAACATCACTCTGCAGGTATGCTGACGGCCGTGGTTTGTGGTGCTTTAACATTGTCTAAATCACATGGAAGCACAAAATTTTCACTATTTGTGTTGCTTTTCAGATTGATCCGAGCATTCTGCAGCAAACATTGCAGCAGGGGAACCTGCTTGCTCAGCCTCTCACAGGGGAGCCCGGTGTGGCCTCTCAGAACAGCTCACTTCAGACGTCAGAGAGCACCGTCCCAGCCAGTGTTGTCATCCAGCCCATCTCAGGCCTGTCCTTACAGCCCACAGTGACATCTGCCAATCTGACTATTGGCCCGTTGTCTGAGCAGGACTCTGTGCTGACCACCAGCAGCAGTGGTAAGCGCCTAGTGCTCTTCTAGTTTAGCAGCTGGAATTTCAATGTGTTGCTAATAATTACACATTTGGTTTTATGTCATTGTGATGCCATTTTCATCTCTTCATAACACCAAAGAAAAGGAAAGTCCTAGGTTTCCTTGGTTTCTGTGTATTCCTTCAGTAGTGGCCACTGGGTTACTATATTCACGGAACTTTTCTCAAGCCGGCTTCCCATTAATCATTTTATTTACCTCTCTTAGCTCCTTTCCCTCTGCCTTCCCCTGGCCTCTCTTCCTTTTTCTTTTTTGTGACACTGTGTATCAATCCAGGACCCTGTGTACTCCAAGGTAGGTTTATTTCTTCAGATAAAGCAGTTAGAATGACTGATAATTAACTTTAAATATTTATCTTTTAAAAATAATCCTTATCCCAACACTCGGGAGGCAAAGCCAGGAAAATCACTGAATTCAAGACTAATCTGGTGTACATAGTGAGTTCCAAGCCAGCCAGGACTATATAGTAAGACTCTGTCTCAAAAATAAAGAAGAAAATAAAAGTAATCTTTTAACTAAGATACTTTAAACAAAAGAGAAACATCTTACTTTATAGCTCACTACTTTGTGCTGATGCAGGGACGCAGGATCTCAATCAAGTGATGACTTCGCAAGGCCTCGTGTCCACCTCAACAGGCCCCCATGAGATTACCCTGACCATCAACAACTCAAGTCTCAGCCAGGTCCTGGCCCAGGCTGCTGGCCCCACCGCATCGTCATCCTCGGGCTCTCCACAAGAGATTACCTTGACTATCTCTGGTTAGTGAGTTCACATTTTAGACAGCCTTCAACTTACAGCTTGTGGTCACCTTGCTTGTGCCCCTTTCCTCAACACTCATTTTTACATAAAGCCATTGCTCAGTAAGTATTTCATTTATGTTACAGGTTCAAATTTAGTGAAATCTAATATCAGAAATGGTAAGTTCTGGTTGCTCGTGTCACTTCCTGTTTCAGTAGAGGTAATTGTGTAATTAAATAATGTCAAAAGAGTTGGCTACTTTTGCCACACATTTTTGCTTAGCAAAGAGCAAAGCAGATAGCTTCCTAATTCTTGTTCACTCTGTGAACTGTGCACAAGAGGATACTTAGTCTTGCCCTACCCTTGTATTTTTAGAACATTACTCAGCTTATGTGGAAAATTTAAAATACACTAGAATATTGAAAAATTGATTAATAGGCAGAAAATACCATTTGGCGGTAAAGCGCACTTGGCATTAGCAAGTCATCAGCATGTCAGGTACAGGACTACAACGTCCCTCCTTCCATGCTATACTGCCTAAACCTTGGTCTCACTCTCATAGCATGCTCTGCCCTCTGTAGCATGGAACTGACTTGGCCTGGTATGATTTGTCCACATGATTCTTCGCTCTGCCCCCTTCATCCTTTCATATAAGCTAAATCTTTTTTGTTTGCTGTGGTTTGGTTTTTGAGACAGGATCTCATGTAGCCCAGGATGGCTTCAAACTCATTGTATGTCCATAGATGATCTTGAATTTCTGATTCTCCTGCCTTTACTTTCCCAGTGCTAGTTTTACTGGATGTACACTGTGTCCAGTTTATGCGGTACTAGGGATCAACCCGGGACCTTGTTCATGCTAGGCAGGCAGCTACATCCCTAGCCCCTAAGTTATTTTTTTAATTAATAATTTTTATAATACTATGCCATTTAATATTTATATTTAACCCCATAACTATCTTAGGATATTAAAAATAGGAAAATTTTGCCAAAAATCATAGTTACTTTTTTGGGGACATGGTGTAAAAGAGGGAAGCATCCATGTTTCCCTTTGAACAAATTGTAAGAATTGAAAAACTACCAGGCTGACTCAGCTGTGATGCCAATCCGAGATTATGTTTCCTTAGTATCAATGATATTTCTACAGAAATTAATCGTAGAACTGGGAGAACGATTATAAAGAAGGAAGCTAAAAAGTTAAAGCTTTGTTTTTCAGGAGGGTCTTACTTTTGGTTAGTGCTGTACTTTTCAATGACATGCCATGAATTTTTTTTTTTAAGATTTTATCTATATTTATTTTGAATCTATAATTTCTGAATTTCATAAATGTACTTGTGCTGTCATGGAGGAAACAATTTGTTGAGGGCTTCAGGGAAGACCTTTGGGGCAGGACAGAAAATAGTCTTTAAGATTTAGATTTTTCATCAACTTTAAAAATTCTTTGATTGTGTGTCGGGTGTGGTGGTGCATGCCTTTAATCCCAGTACTCTGGAGGCAGAGGTAGGTGGATATCTGTGAGTTCAGGGTCGGCCTGGTCAATATAGTGAGCTCCAGGCCAGCCAAGGCTACAGGGAGACCCTTTCTCAAAAAAAGACCAAAACAAAACAAAACAACCCCCCAAAACCTTTCACTGTATACATAAAATGCTGGGTCCGAGAGCCTATCTCAACATTCAGATGTTTCAGTTTAGGCAAATTTAGTGATGTTTTATAACTCAGACTCCCTGCTTAATTTTTCCTTGAATTTGTTTTTATTTGAGTTTTTGTGTCTTTCATACAGAACATCTCAATAAATCTTATTTTTATACCCCCCCCCCACTGGAGCCCATATACTCTGTCATCCCTGTTAAGACCTACTACGTCAAGTCAGTGTTCCCAGATGTTCCCCAGTGCAAGTCCATCCACTGAGGTCTAGTCAGCCTATCTAGAGTCCCTTGTTTTAGGGAGATCACCTCTTTTTCATCTAGCAGCAATCAGTAGTCAATATTTCTTCAGATAAGATTAGGGTCTGCTGTTCATTTTCCCAGTTCTATGCTGGGTTATGGTCTGCCTGAATTTGCATGGGACTTGTGTATGCTGACACCACTGCCATTGAATCATACGAGCAGGTTCCTAGGAGCTTGTAAGACTCTGTTTCCATATGGTCATGCACCTCCTCCATGGCTCTTAAAATCTTTCCACACCCTCTTCCACCATGGTCCCTAAGCCTTGGGTGGGTGAAGTTTAATAAAGGGGTCTAAGCACTACCATTCAGCAGACTCTTGATCTCTATGCTTTGGCCATTTGTGTATCTTTTGTTTCCTGGCCCTCCACTACGTGAGGGAGCTTCATTAATGGGAGCTGAGAGATTTCATTAGTGTCCTCTTCTTTACCCTTGCTCTCTGTTCCATGAGACTTCGATGTCGAGGTTGCATTGTAGATGTGTCACTTAGGCCTGGGAAATTCATAGACAATGCCCGTGTGTGACCAGTTGTGGTGCTTGGTAATAGTCTCCAACTGGTACAAAATGAGCTTCTTTCCTGAATGGTGACTGGGATATTTGTCTGTAATATAAGGATACATATTTTGCACATAGTAAGAAATCATGTTAGTCTAGGGATGTGACAGTCTTGGGATTTTCTCTAAGATCTCTAAGGGCCACTCCAGCCATGTGTATTTGGTTATGTTTATAGTATTGCACTTGAGTTTCCTCCCATTGGGTGGGCTTTTAGTCCAGTTAGGTAGCTGTTGATTGCCCCCAAGATAAAAAAGCCATTACTGTACCAGTGTCAGTGCTGGTGATTGATACAGTTATTGGGTCTTGAGGCTGGTGTTGGACCATCAATTAATGTTTTCCCTTGGCACCTTCATAGCGTTCTCCAAAGCTGTGAGAGCTCGCCTTCAGGGGAAGTGGCTTCCAGGTCAATTGCAGCTCTACTGCTCCAAGTCCTGTGTCCGAAGTTTGTTCTGTCTTTAGCAGCCGGTGTTACCTTCGTGTTCTGGGACGCCATCAAGGTCTGTGGCAGCAGCCTGAGTAATTTTGGAAGTCTCTTGGACCACCCTGGCCAACAACTCAAAGGAAGGTTTCTCTTGTCTGGCACTGTTTCTTGTTATGTAGCCTTTAGTTATACATGGACTCATGCAGAGATAATGTATATATAATTTGTCATTAGGTTGTTGGACTAATATAATTACCTCTAGTTTTTTTAAAACTAGCTAGGCATTATTTAAAGAAAGAACCCGAAAGAGAAGAACATAGGAGACAGGTGTTACTAAGGGAGAAATGGATAAAAATGGGGTTATTTAAACCTCAGGGATAAAGGGAAAGGAGGAGTTCAAGAGACGTGGGACCATAGGAGACTGGTATTATCAAGGGAGAAAGGTGGAAAATTGGGACATTTTAAATGGGGAAATCATGGCGGAAGGGTTAGACAGTGAGCTATGCCATGAGTTTTACACACTATGAGGCAATAAACATTAACACTGATTTTACATGGTTTAGTAACCTTCCTTTTCCTATATTTCAATGTTGGAAATATAGAAAGGTTATTTTAAGAAAACTATATTGTTGAAAACTTACTTTTTTGAGTGCTCTCAATGTAGGAGGTATTGGGCTTGGTCTTATCAAAAACATAGAGTGCAGGATTCTTGCTTATACCTCAGAACTTACGTTCTTTAGTTTGTGGATTGTGCTTTTGTATTTCCTGTGTTTTCGTATCCTTGTTCATTTTCTTATGTTATTGCTTATAGGTGTTGTAAAAAAGGATAGCAGAGTCTAGCAGTAGGGTTTGTTTTTTTTTAAATTGACGGAAAGGTTTGTTGTATGAGAAAGTTCCTAGTCAATTACTCAGATTTGTGCAAACTTTGGGCTCAAGGTTTCTTGCTTTTTTCTCAGTATGGACAATATGAAGATATGAACTGGTTTCAGAGACTCTTGGGTCAGCATTTCTTTATCCCACTTTGGAAGGGTGTAGAAAACAGTTTCTGTTGAGAGCATTTGGGTACTCTGCAAATTTTCACTGTTTGTAGAGTGCTTTTTTCCATCAGTGCTATGAATGTAAGTACTGTGTAAGGCATGTGAGTTTCTAGGGGTATGCAAGTTAGAGCATTTGGAAACAAAATCTAACGTATTCTATAAAAGCAAGGCTAGTCCTTTGCACACCCTGACCCTGATCAGTCTTGCACTTATACAAGTGTCCTCCCACCTGATGTTTGCAGCCGATTAATAAGAGGTGATGTGAAGTAGCATTCAGGAGTGCAACACCCAGTGCTCTGAGCATTCTGCCTAGGTTCTGTTGAATAACTGCCTGCTCTGCTGGTTATAGCCCTGCTTTCTTCCTTTGTTGTCCACATTCAGGTCTATAATGCCTAGCTGCACTCTGTCTGCCTGTAGGTTGTGCCCACAGAGCAGCACTGTCGTCTTTGGTGCTCTTTCCCCTTCGGTCTTTTCTCACACCCTCCTAAGATGACAACAGAGTTTTCAAGGCATCTTGTCTTATCAAGTCCCCTAATGTATTCAGTATGGTTTTCATAGAAGCTTTAGCAGATGTTTCCATTGTGTTGATTGTATCATTTAGATACAGCAGTAGCCAACAGCTGCCTGAGTAGATCAGATGTGACCTGATAGGAACATGTCACTGGCATGTTAGTACATGATGGTGAGTATTCGCAGTACATTGGGCAGGAAGCTTTTGACACAGGGATGCCCAGAGTGTGCTAAGTCTGCGGCATGTTGTGTGGAAGTCAGTTAAGGAAGGTTCTGTTACTGTTTGGTGATGTCCCTTACATGCATTTAAACATGTTTTACTGCATTTGGCAGTCTGCTACATTTGGAAATACTTTGAATTCTGTGAAAGTTTTTTTCAACAAGGAGTGTGATTTTAAGTTTCTAACTTTTGAGTTAAAGTAGAATTTGTAAGTAGTAGCTTAAAAGTAGGAGGATCTCTGCCATTGAGGAGAGTGTGTGTCATGGTCCTCTTCCTGTGTTTAATAGAAACAAAACCTTTGAGGGTGATATCATAGACTGAGTGCACTTAGGGAGTAAT